GCCAAAATACACAAATGGGACCTAATCAAACTCCACAGCTTCTGCACGGCAAAAGAAACGGTCATTAGAGTGAATTGGCAACCAACAGAATAGGAAAAAAATTTTGCAGTCTACCCATCTGACAAAGGGCTGATATCCAGAATTTACAAAGAACTAAAACAGATCTACAAGAAAAAAACAAACAAGCCCATTCAAAAGTGGGTGAAGGATATGAACAGACACTACAAAAGAAGATATACATGAGGCCAACAAACTTATAAAAAAATGCTCATCATCACTGGTCATTAGAGAAATGCAAATCAAAACTACATTGAGATACCATCTCACGCCAGTTCGAATGGCAATCATTAAAAAATCTGGAGACAGCAGATGCTGGAGAGGATGTGGAGAAATAGGAACACTTTTACACTGTTGGTGGGAGTGTAAATTAGTTCAACCATTGTGGAAGACAGTGTGGCAATTCCTTAAGGACCTAGAAATAGAAATTCCATTTCATCCAGCAATCCCATTACTGGGTATATATCCAAAGGATTATAAATCATTCTACTATAAGGACACATGCACATGAATGTTCCTTGCAGCACTGTTTACAATAACAAAGACCTGGAACCAACCCAAATGCCCATCAATGATAGACTGGACAGGGAAAATGTGGTACATATACACCATGGAATATTATGTAGCCATCAAAAACGATGAGTTCGTGTCCTTTGCAGGAACATGGATGAACCTGGAAACCATCATTCTCAGCAAACTGATACAAGAGCAGAAAATCAAACACCGCATGTTCTCACTCATAGGCGGGAGTTGAACAATGAGAACACATGGACACAGGGAGGGGAGCACTACACACTGGGGTCTATTGGGGGGAAATGGGGAAGGGAAGGGGGTGGGTAGGTGGGGAGAGATAGCATGGGGAGAAATGCCAGATACAGGTGAAGGGGAGGAAGGCAGCAAATCACACTGCCATATGTGTACCTATGCAACAATCTTGCATGTTCTTCACATGTACCCCAAAACCTAAAATGCAATAATAAAAAAAAAAAAGGAACGTGATGAGGTTACTATTTACACCTAAATCCTTATTTTCCTTGGCATTCATCTTGGGTTGTGCTATTGTAATAAGCACACAGAAAGGAACAACTTCTGGACATGGTCAATAAAATTGCAGTTGTGCAGCCTTTTTTTTCAATTTAGGGATTTAAAACAATTTCCATCAAAGACATAATCATGGAAAAATTGTTTTCAATAAAAACACCACTATTTCCAAAATTGTTATGGTCTAGTGTGAAAAAGATGACACAGAAATGAGTAAAAATCAAAACAGATTTTAGTTCTTCCTGTGTTTATTCCATTTAGAACATAAAGGAAGGCACGTTTTTTCACACCTCCTCTGTTTAAATACCACTTTGAAAAACGATCCATGATTATAAACTCATTTTTTTTTTTCTTTTTGAGACAGGATCTTGCTCTGTGGCCCAGGCTGGAGTATGGAGGCATGATCATGGCTCACTGCAGGCTTGACCTACTGGGCTCAAAGGATTCTTCTCAGTCTCTTCAGTAGCTGGAACCACAGATGCACACCACCATAACCAGCTAATTTTTAAAATTTTTTGTAGACAGAGGTCTTGCTATGTTGCCCAGTCTAGTCTCAAACTCCTGGGCTCAAGCAATCCTGCCATCTCAGACTCCCAAACTACTGGGATTATAGGTGTAAGCCACTGCACCCAGCCTGAAAACTCAATTCGAGAGAATAAACTTTTAGTATATTCTGTCTCTAGTCAACTTACAGGTTCAACTGTTAACAATCACACCTAAAAGATAAATATTTCTTATATCAGGGTCCACATCTGTCTGAAAAAAAAAAGATAAATATTTCTGCCTATTTAAAAATATAGTGTTCCACTCATTGGGTTTTCAATTATAAATGGCATTATAAGACATTTATAATCCTTGCTGTGGGAAAGATCCTTAGCTATTGAGGAATGAATAATCCTCACACTTTTTAAGGTATGTGACTCTTAGACACCACACAATTCGGAAGCTAATGTCTCCGGGAACTTACAAAGTGGAAAGACCACACAGTGCTGAGGAAATGATGATCTGGTTGGGGTGGGAATAATGAGAGGAATTAAGGTACTAGTGGTTTGACTATTGTAAATATTCTATGAAAAGATGAGAATAGCCTGAACTGTAAGAGCCAAGATAGGAATGAGAAAGAAGAGTTTTTCATTTTATTTTATCGGGGAATGGAGATTTATATATATATTTTATTATACTTTAAGTTCTGGGATAAATGTGTAGATCATGCAGGATTGTTGCATAGGTTCATACATGGCAATGTGGTTTGCTGCCTCCATCCCACCATCACCTATATCTGGCATTTCTCCCCATGTTGTACCTCTCCAACCTCCCTGCCCCTTGATGTCCCTCCCATAGTCCCCTGCAACAGACCCCAGTGTGTAATGCTCCCCTCTGTGTTCATGTGTTCTCATTGTTCAACACCCACCTATGAGTGAGAACATGCAGTGTTTGATTTTCTGTTCTTGTGTCAGTTTGCTGAGAATGATGGTTTCCAGGTTCATCCATGTTCCTGCAAAGGACACGAACTCATCACTTTTATGGCTGCATGGTATTCCATGGTGTGTATGTGCTACATTTTCCTTGTCCAGTCTATCATCGATTGGCATTTGGGTTGGTTCCAGGTCTTTGCTATTTAAACAGTGCCGCAATGAACATACGTGTCCATGTATTTTTATAATAGAACGATTCATAATCCTTTGGATATATACCCAGTAATGGGATTGCTGGGTCAAATGGAATTTCTATTTCTAGATCCTTGAGAAATCACCACACTGTCTTCCATAATGGTTGAACTAATTTACACTCCCACCAACAGTGTAAAAGTGTTCCTATTTCTCCACATCCTCTCCAGCATCTGTGGTCTCCAGATTTTTTAATGATCGCCATTCTAACTGGCGTGAGATGATATCTCAATGTGGTTTTGATTTGCATTTCTCTAATGACCAGTGACAATGAGCATTTTTTCTTATATTTGTTGGCCTCATATATGTCTTCTTTTGAAAAGTGTCTGTTCATATCCTTCACCCACTTTTGAATGGGTTTGTTTTTTTCTTGTAAATCTGTTTCAGTTCTTTGTAGATTCTGGATAGTAGCCCTTTGTCAGATGGGTAGACTGCAAAAATTTTCTCCCATTCTGTTGGTTCCTGGTTCACTTTAATTAGTTTCTTTTGCTGTACAGAAGCTCTGGAGTTTAATTACATTCCATTTGTCTATTTTGGCTTTTGTTGCTAAATGATTTCGTTGCTTTAGTCAGGAAGTCCTTGCTTATGCCTATGTTGAAAAAGAAGTTTTAAGAGACACTGAGGGAGACTCCTGGGGAGAAGGGCTTGGTAGAGATGATTTGTTTGCAGACTAAGTATTATGGGTTTCTAAAGGGGGAAAAGGCAGAGTCTGATGATAAAATCAGATTCAAGTTATCTGATTTGAGATTGAGAATTTCAAACAGTGCTTCTCAAGAGTTTTCCTCTATGATACACATGAAGGTAGAACTAGTGCTAGGTGTTCACAAAATTGTGTCTTATTTGTCCTCCTGAACACATAGAGTGTATATATATTTAAGACCTCCTTGTAGTTAGATTGGTGGGCTCTATGGCCACTAATGGCCAGTGGGCTCTAAGCAGAGGCAATGAGTGCTACTTCTGGGCTGCAGTAATAGAAGATCCCACGTAGCCCTCCAGCTTTATTCTTCCATTTAATGTGAATCTGGAAGGCATGTGTGAAGATGGTGAAATGACAAAGAAGCAAGCAAACTGGATCCCTGAATCACCATGTAGAAGTTGCCCTAGAGAGGCACTAAACTCACAGATCTTGTTGGAGAAATAACATTTTATTTGTTAAGTCACTGAGACCTGGAGACATGTTTGTCATTGAAGCATAACTGAGTGTTGTTTTGCCCAATAAAAGAGGTGATATTCTTAATTTCAACACAATCTGAGGAGAGTACACTGATTTAGAAGACACTTTTGAAAATGTTTTATTTAACTAAAACAAATCAAGTCAATGACATTATTTTTGTATATAAGGGTGAGACAGGTGGAATTTCATACATGCATCCTAGAAGTATGTAATGGATAAAATTAGCCACTAAAAGATTTTCAGAATATTGATTTAAAATAAAAAATAAACACAGATTCTCTACCTTTTAAAAATGAAATGTTATTTTTTAAGAAGTTCTTTTCTCCTCACTTCCGTAGGAATAAAAGAGTAGGTGCTATTAGAAAATAGGTGCTATCAAATTTAATTTTGTAGTTTAAAATAAAAAAACGTAGATTTTATAGATTAGTATACTAATATAAATATCCAGTTTTCTGCTTTGGACTTGTACCATAGCTACTGTTAATAACCATATCCATAGTGCCATTTTCCCTCTCTCTTGTGCCGTGTGGATGGAGACACCCATTTTCTACTTCCCTTCATATTAAAAATATATCTATGGTTAAATAAAAAGAACAAGAAGACAGTAAGGTAAATGTTGCAAACGAGTATGACTGCACCCTGTAGTCACCATGACCATTAGGGGACCAGAAACAGCTGCAGGGAGAAGCAGGGCAGTAGCTCTCACTTCACTCTTTTCACAGCTGCTCAAGATAGCCAGTGGCAACACTAGCTAATGAGCAATAGTCTTCAGGGTGTGTATGAAATCATACTCACACTTTGGTACTTTACTGATTTTTAATAAGATGATTGGCAATATGCCTTTAATACTAGTACTGCTTGATTCAGTATTAGAAAGAGACTTTGTAAGTGTAAAATATTTATTTTGCACTCAAGACCCAGTCAAACTACAAAAGATAAACAGAATTTGAAAACTTAGAACTCAGAAGTGAAAATCAGACTGGGCCGATGGCTCACACCTGTAATCCCAACACTTTGGGAGGCCAAGGTGAGCGGATCACCTGAGGTTAGGAGCTCGACACCAGCCTGGCCAACATGGTGAAATCCTGTCTCTAATAAAAATACAAAAAAATTAGCCAGGCATGATTATGGGCACCTATAATCGGAACTACTCGAGATGCTGAGTCAGGGATAATTGCTTGAACACAGGAGGTGGAGGTTGCAGTGAGCCGAGATCATGCCACTGCACTCCAGCCTGGTGAAAAAAAAAAAAAAAAAAAAAAAAAGTGAAAATCAATAACCAGTCAAAAGGATAGCTATCGACAGACTAAACTGTCCTTATGTTAGTCCTCGTAATAGGGAGAAAGTAGGATAGCAGGATGGGTAAAAATCAACAAAAGAAAAAGAAAAATGAATGGAAAAAGATATTTTTCTTAATTCTTTAAATCTTCAGAAAAAATCCTGCTTCAAGTAAAATTTTACATGAGTCTAATTAAGCACTTTTACGGCAGGATAGAGCTATAATTAAAGCCTTACCTTATATGGCATACTAACTTGCAGCTGCAAGCTAAATGTTTTAACATATCATCAAATTGGCATTAGTTTGACAAAATGTAGTAATCATTTCCTTTTGTGGACTAAAAGACATCAAGAACATGAATATTTTAATTCATATGTTAGCTGATACAGACATAATTATTAGAGGTTACAGAGTATATATGGCATTGTGATTTTTTCTATTCCTTTTTTAGGTAATTGAATGCTTTGCTTATTCTGAATAAATGTAACTTGACACAAATGATCTAAAACAAGGGGTAGAAACAGCAGGGAGGATGAAAGAAAATAGGACAAATTCCTAAGTTCTGTGGAACATAGGACAATTTGCATTTTTAAAGATGAAAAGTGGTCTAAGAACTATGTACTGAAGGTCAACCTTCAGTCAACAGACAGCTATTTTCATCAAAATATTTAAATTCTTACTTTTGTTAAGAAGCTAGTAGTTATCTATCTTTCTCTATTTAAGTTTGGGAGTAGAAGCATATTAATTATTTGAAATCTGAAATTGTTACCTAACTATATTCTCATGTTGCATAATCACAAGTTAAGTTCTTCCTGTGGACACATTTGTGCATTGTGCTTTAGTTAAAAGCAAGAAAAAAAAAAAAAAAGCCAGCGAAATGTTGCCCTGTTGTTTTGGGAGTGATGGGCAGGAGGAACTGTGTGAGCAGGTTGGAACTCTCAGGTCCCAGGACTTTGGGGCTGAGTAGACATAGGACACCTAACACCACAGTCAAGTTAGAGCTCTGCTACAGGAACTTGTGCTCATTTCAGCAAGGGCTAGGGCAGAATTAATCTCTTCAAAATGAAAAATTAAGAGTCAATACATAAATAGGGCATATAATACTACTATTAATGAAAAGGGTCTAGGATACAGATCTAACATGACAAGCTGTATGAATATCTCTTACACTTTCCCATCCTAAGAGATGTCTGCCAGAGCAAGTTCTCTCCAAGGAGGGTAAGTGTCAGACATGCCCTGGTGAGATGTGGATGGCTGGAAATAACAACTGGAAAGGAAGAACAATGGCTAACAATCTCCTGGAGTTTGGCCGCCAGAAAGAATGTATTTTTTGTAGAGACGAGGTTTTGCCATGTTGCGCACGCTAGTCTGGAACTCCCGGGCTCAAGTGATCCACTCAACTTGGCCTTCCGAAGTGCTGGGATTACTGGTGTGTGCCACTCTGCCCAGCAAGCTTCTCTGGTTTTTAAATAAGCATCAACATATCTGCTGTGGTCTGTAGCTGTAGAATTGAAGGAAATGTGGACATTTAAAAAAATGGCCAGTAACTTAAGGGCTCTTTCATGTATTATTAAGCATCTAGAGGCTAATTCCTTTTAGAAATGTTCTGTGGGGAGTGAACAAGATTGAGCATAAACAGCTATATGCATGGACAACTCAACTGTGCTTCCTCATTTAATTCCTTCTACTTATCCATTTAAACATTTCTAACAGATTTAAATTGTGATGCTTTCTACAGGCTGAGACTAAAAAGTCAACCAGGCTAAAGAAAATGAAACAATAAAAAAACCTAAACCATTAAAGAAGAAAGGTAAAAGAAAGCCCAGGTCATACAAAGTCCAACAGGCCATAAAAATGAAGGCTGGAAACATTATAAAATCTCCCCTTTCAGCTGGGAGCCTGGCCAAGCAACTGCACGGGAGTTGAGTTCTGTGATTGTGAGTGAAAGTTGCATTGTCTGTCCCCGCCTGCCCTCCTTCTGTTCTGATCTCTAATTTTAGACATATCTGTGTTGACAGCATCCCTTAACAAAAAGATCAGCAGCAAGCTGTTCAAATCCTAATCTGACATTTCCCTTACTAAGAGAAAGGAATGGAATTCCCTACCATCTTCTTGTAGGTTAATAGCTTTTACATAATTACAAAAAACATCATGGAGACTGGAACCATATCATTACTAATTTCTTTCTATTATTCTTGGTATAAAACTTTATCTACAAGAACAGGCTACATTTGGCCCAATGCCTGTAGTTTGTGGATCTTTGCTCTGGGGTCGTAACTGGTAAGTTATCACAATTGGCTGGTACCAGCACATCACCAATTTATACAACACATGCTGTTCATCTACCTTAAGAAAAGGATTAGCCAGGAGCAAAAGAGAATTTGGTTCATGATCTGTAGATATACTATCCCATATTCTCCAAATCAAAATTTAGAATATACAACTGAGCCATAGGGTATTATACCCTATATCTTGAAAAAAATTCGGCCAAATTTTGATTGTATGTTTGAAGAATGATATCTCCTGATGTGTCTGTCCCTAAAAACCCAAGAAGTATGGTAATCTTGTATATTGTGTGACTTGTAATTCTTGAAAAATAAAAGTACTAATAGATAATATGTACTGTATTTACTCAGTGCCAGGCATTGTTCGAAGTGCTCTGTGACAACTCATTTAATCCTCAAAACAACTTTGTGAGATAGGTACTATTATTATCCCTTCTTTACCAATGAGAAAACTGAGGTTAGAAAAATAATTTGGCTGACGTCATAATGGTAGGCAATGAAATAGGTAGGATTTGAACTCAGAATTCTTGCTACTGAATCTGTGATCTTAACCACTGCCTTCTAGAGAGGAAGAGGACAAGGAAGGCAAGTCAGTTCTCATCCCTGAGAATTCCACCTGGCTGATCTTTGTTGATAAGTAAATATTTACTGACTCCTTACTATGTGATATGTATTATGCCTAGTGTTTTAGGCATGCCTAGTGTTTTAGGTCTATTATGTTATTTAATCCTTCCCACAGTTATATATGGGAGGAACTATTACTCTATTTTACAAAAACAAAAACCCTGGCTTAGGAAGGTTATAAATTGCTCAAGGATATATTAGTGGTAAGTGATGGAACCACCTCTGCTGATTGGGATTATCATTGATTTGAAGATAAGGTTATCACTTTCTGAACAGCTACTGGCAGGAGATTCATGTTACTGAGGAGGGAAGACAATCACTTTCCAGACTAGCAGGCAATCTCCTTATGATGCAGGGCTGTGTATGTGACAGAGACTACTTGAGCCTGTATTTTTCCTAAACAAGATGTGTACCATTACACGTTGCTTGGAATTCAGATTCTTTCCTCCACCTTACTCCATCAACAGATTGATTCCTGACAATATAGCTTTGACTGTGTGATTCTTTGTTTAGCCTTCTTTCCTTGCTTGTCTTAGCATTGTGCCAATTTGGGTCCATTACTCCCAGAGCTTTCCTGGCTTCTGCTCCCTTGTTCCAAAGAAGGGATTACTGACACACACTTTGGATCATTTCATTCTGAGGGCTTTAGGCTTTATCTGTGACTACAGGTCTGAGAGTTCTCTCCTGGGAATCCATCTTCACCTTTACTGTGTTTGTCAACCCTTCCCTCCATACAGGAATTCGTAATTAGAGACACTCATTTCATCAGAGACAGAGTTTGCATTCCTAAATTCTCTGAGCTAATTTTGGATAATTTTCAAGACAAGAGGGGAATATCCTTTTTATATTCTACCATTTTAAAACTAGAAGTCTAACAAATGTAACTGCTTTTTTTTTTCCTGTCAAAGTCAAATTAATTCAGTAGCTATCCTTCTCGGAATGAACTTCAGCATGATTAACTATCCATTGAACATAGAGCATATATTCCTTATTTCTTTTATTTCAAATTTTAGCTCCAGGTATTTTAAGAAAACATTCCAAATAATTTTAAAATAATCATTAGACAATTAAGTTTGGCAATTTATTTTTACCATATTTGCAATCATTACTGTTTCTTACATCCCACCCCTATCCTTTGGGTTCACTGTGCTTCATGTTGAAGTACATCACTTAGTATTTCTTTCAGCAAGGGTCTGGATTGAATAATCAATCTTTGCTTTTCTGAATATATTTTTGTATTTCTCTTACGTCTATATTACAATCTAGCTGGGTATCGAATTCTAGATTGACAGTTATTTCTGGAACTTTGAAGACATTAATGTATTGACTTTTGGCATCTCTTGTTGCTGGGAACAAGCCATCAGTTTATTCTTCCACAGCAGGAAAACTGTATTTTTAGTAGCTTTTAATATTTTCCCTTTGTCCCAAGTGTTCTATTTCATTATGTTTTTCTCTAGGTAAAGTTTTGTTTTATTTTCAAGTGTGGCACTTGGTGATATTCTTAACCTGAGTCTTCAATTCAGCAAAAGTTTTACCCATCATGTTTTTGAATATTGGTTTTCTACCATTCTTAAACCTTCTTTAGAAATTTCTATGATACGAATGGTGGAGCCTCTTGTTCTATCTTCCATGTACAAATCATCCTTTATATTCTTCATTGCTGTGTACTGTATTATGGGTGAATTTCTCATGATTATCTTATAATTCCTTAATTCTGTCTTTGACCTTGCCCAGTCTAGAGTTTATTCTACCAAATAAGTCTATTTTAGAGACTACATTTTTCATTTCCAGAATCCTTTTTTCTATTACTTTGTCTTTCCATTTGTTTTAGTTTCTGTGTTATAACACCTTATTTTTTTTTTCTAATTTCTTCCTTTATCTTTTGAGTATCATAAATACACTTAAATCATTATCAGATTTTGTTGTTACTTTCATTTCATTTGGGGTGAATTCAATTCTCAATTGTTATTTTTGTTTGCTTTCTCATATAGAATTTTGGTATGCACAATATTCTTCAGTGGGAGATTTTAATTTCTTCCTGCTTTTCCTCATTGCC